TTATTTCTACTCTGATCTTTATTATTTCCTTTCTTCTAGTGGCTGTGGGCTTTTTTTTGCTGTTCTCTTTCTATTTGTTTGAGTTGTGTGGTTAATGTTTTGATTTTGTCCCTTTCTTCTTTTTTGTTGTGTGCATCTATTGGTATAAATGGTCCTCTGAGGACTGCCTTTGCTGTGTCCCAAAAGTTTTGGTATGATGTGTTTTCATTCTTATTTGATTCTAGGAATTTTTTTGATTCCATCTCTGATTTCTTCTATTGCTTAGTGGTTTGTAAGCAGGGTGTTATTCAGTTTCCATGTAAATGATTTTTTTTCCTTGCTCTTACTGTTGTTAATTTCTACCTTGATGGCTTTGTGGTCAGTGAAGATACTTTGTATTATCTCAACATTTGGGATCTTGTTGAGGATTGCTCTGTGGCCTAAGATGTGGTCTGTTCTGGAGAACTTTCCATGTGCACTGGAAAAGAATGTGTACTTTGCAGCTGTTGGGTATAGTGTTCTGCCAATGTCTGTGAGGTCAGGTTGGCTGATTGTGCCCTTCAGGTCTTCTTATCTTTGCTGAGTTCCTTTCCAGCTGTTCTGTCCTTTACTGAGAGTGGTCTGTTGAAGTCTCCTACTATTATTGTGGAACTGTCAATCTCTCTTTTCAGAGCTGTTAGAGTTTGTTTTATGTATTTTCGAGCCCTGTCATTGGGTGTGTAGATGTTTATTATGGTTATGTCCTTGTGATGAATCATCCCCTTAATCATTATATAGTGTCCTTCTTTGTCTTTTATGGTGGATTTTGTTTTAAAGTCCATTTTATCTGAGATTAGTATTGCCACTCTTGCTCTTTTTTGGTAGCTGTTTGTTTGATATATTTTTTCCATCCTTTGATTTTTAATAAATTTACGTCTTTGTTTCTAAGGTGTGTCTCTTGTAGACAGCATATTGATGAATCCTGTTTTTTTTTTTTATACATTCTGTCACTCTGCATCTCTTTATGGGTGCGTTTAGGCCATTTACATTCAGTGTAATTATTGATAAGTATAAGTTTATTGCTGTCATTTTGTAGTGCTTTTTTTGTGGTGCTGACAATTTCTTTGGTCCTCCTACTCTCCTGTGCTGAATTCTTTTTGTTTGTGGATTTTTTTTCATTTCTTTTGTTTTTGTAGGTTTTGTTTTTACTGAGACTTAATGTTTTTCTTTTTTCTTTTGATGAGTAAATTTGTTAACTTTCTGTGTTTTCACCTTGCAATTTACCCTTATCTTCCTAGGTTTGAACCAGTCTATTATTACTTGGTGTCGCCTTGCCTTCTTCTCCATTAGAAGGTTCTATACCTACACCATTTATTCCCTCTTTTATTGTTCTGATGTTATTGTCATTTACAGATTAACCTCTCTGTTTCCCTGTTGTAATTCTTTTGGTTTTATAGTCCATGAGAGTTTGTTTCCTAGGTTGCTATCTGGCTGGTACAATCCTGTGTCCTAGATTCAGCCTGTGGTCTGATGTTGTTTCTTTTCAGATCGAGGGACTCCCTTTAATAATTTGTAAGTTTGGTTTGGTTTTTACATATTCCCTTAATTTTTGTTTATCTGGAAATGCCCTAATTTCACGATCATATTTGAACCAGAGTTTTGCAGCGTTTATTATTCTTGGCTCGCAATGTTTTCTTTCAAGGTTTTATATGTGTCATCCCATTGCCTTCTTGCCTGCATGGTTTCTGCTCAGTAAATCCGAGCTTAATCTTATTGTTTCTCCTCTGTATGTGACTTTTTGTTTGTCTTGAGCTGTTCTCAGGGTTCTTTGTTTGTTTTTGGTTTTGGTGAGTGTGATTATGATACGCCTTGCTGATTTTCTTTTGGGGTTTATCCTATATGGGGTTTGTTGAGCTTCTTGGATGGTCAGCTTTTCATCTTTCATGACACTGGGGAAGTTTTTTATCAGCAATTCTTCAACGATCCTCTTTGTTTTGTCTGTTTTCTCCCCCTGTTCTGGAACCTCGATCCGTGGCAAATTTCTGCTTTTTATTGTATCTCACATAATTCTCAGTGTTTCTTCATTTTTTTTTGTTCTTTTTTTCTGTTTTTTCCTCAAACAGAGTTGTATCCAAGTTTTGGTCTTCAATTTCACTGATCTTGTCTTCCATCGTTTCAAATGTTCTCAGCCTTTCTATGACACTGTCCATTTCTGAAGTCTTGTTGTTTATCTTTTGGATTTCTAATTGTAGTTTTTGTATAATTTCTAGTTGTGAATGTATTTTAGCATTTTGTTCCTGTATTATTTTCTTGAATTCTTCCATTTTTTGTCTGTATTTCCCATGAATTTGTCTGCATTTTCCATGAATTTGTGTATTTTTTTCCTCATTTTTGTCTGTTTTTTGCTTCAGCTCTTGGATAATTCTGTAGTTGTAGTGCTTTTCCTTCTACTGGAAAATCATCTGGTGTTTTATTTTGGATGCCCTCTGGAATCATCCTGTCCTGTTTTTGTATATGTTTTGATATTGTCTGCTGTCTTCAGGGCATTCAGTATTTATTTTCCTCATTTATTGATTGTAGATTTGTTTGTTTCATCTTGCTTTTTTGTTTTATTTGGTTATGTCTGAGCAGGTGGGCCGTGTGTTCTTTGTTGCTTGCTCGTCTGTGGGCTCGATACTTTTCACCTCCTTCTCCAATGGGCGAGGTCAGTCTCTCAGGTATGGTACAGCAGGGCAGGTCCAGCTAAGGAGAGTTGCTGGGTTGGGTTGTTTGTGGCATGTGCTAGGGCCTATAGGGCAGACCAGGAATCACTGCAGTGTAGGCCATGCCTGTGCTGTTTGGGAGTGTGATATTCAGTGCATGGTGCAGGTGGGTAGGAAGGAGGGAGGAGATTGTGATGTGTGGAGCTAAGATGGGTATGGGAAAGAGGAGAGAGAGGAGAGAGGAACAGGAGCCAAAAACATACACACACACAAACAAAAAAGAGTGCTAAGGAAGCTTGCTATCTGAGTGATGAGATGAGAGATTGAGAAATAGAGAAAAAAAGGAATAAAAAGAAAAAGGGTAAAAGAAAAAATGAATAAATAAAAATTAGAGAAAGAAAAAAAAAAAAAAAAGAAAGAAAAGCCCCCAGGGATTCCACCAATGCAGCTGCTTGGAGTGGGGAAGTGCTCCCATGCCATGAAGTACAGCCTGGCTAGAAGGGGTAGAGATGTCAAACAGTGCCAGGTATTCTGGAGACAGGGAGAGAAGGTAAGTATAGACGGATGAGAAACTGGAAATGAAGAAAGACAAAGAGGGAAGGAGAAAGAGAGAAGAAAACAAAGCAAAGAAACAAAAAAACCCCAAAAAACAAAAACAAGAAACTAAAAAAATCAAGAAAAAAGAAATGTCCCAAGGGATGTCACTGTGCATCTGCACAGAGTAAGGAAGTAGCTCCCAAGCCGCATGGTACTCCCAAGTAGAAGGGGCTCCCAAGCCGAGAAAATGAAAGGGAAACAAACAAATCAATACAGAACAAATCAGAACAAACAAAGACAAAAAGCCCTGAGGGTCCCACCAGCGTGGAGGCATGGGCTGGGAAGCAGTTTCACAGTTGAGTGGTGTTACACAGCCTTTCGGAAAGAAGCAAAGATGGCGAATGTAGCCAGGTATTTGAAAGAAAGGAGGGTGTGGCGGTGAGAGATAAGGAAGAAATCTAAAGAAGCTGAAAAACGCAACACCAGCAGCCAACAAATGGCACTCAGGGAGCCGGCCAGCACAGGCAGGTGGAATCCAAGTGGCTCTGGGGTGAAGCCGGTGCTTCCCGGCCATGAGACTGTGTCCCCAGGAAGCAGAGGAGGCCGAGTAGGGGTGAAGAAGGGTGGCGGGGTGGGAAAGCATATATCGCTGGTTATAGGTTGCTCTGTCTCCTGCTGGAAGCTCTGTGAAGCTGCTTTCTCATACCCCGTTTGCTGACCTCCGATAGGAGTCCAAGATGGGGGATCCGTACTGTGATATCTGATAGTGGACCTCTGCATGTATCTCTCCTCACTCTCCATTCTTGGTCAGTTTCTTATTTCATTCAGTGCTTGGCTGAGTTCTTTATCTCTGTATTTGATGCTTAGGGTTTCAGGATTGACATGTGACTCTGTCTGACTTATTTTTTCGGATCTTTGCTGTGGAGGGATGACGTGGTGCTTCCGTCTCTAGCGTCATGTTGCCTGGAAGTCCTTAAATTTTTTTTTTTTTTTTATCTAAGAAAGGTCAAGATCTAAACGTATTCTTCTTGTGACCACTGTTTTCAAAATGCAACTTCAAAATAAATTGTCAATAAGCCTAAATATACTGAATCAAAACAAATTCATGTATCTCTAATTTATCTCAAAGCTAACTAAAAACTTAAGTTGTACTAGGTAAACACAAACCAAAAAACAAACAAAACAGTTAATATTTGAAGCACAAAAACAATGTACTGAATAATATCAAATAGGATTATTTCCCTTAGACTTAGTAAAATAATTTAAATTGTCTTAATACCACAATTTTGCCAAATGCAATTGCAGTAAACTGCTAAGTTTTCTCTAAAGAAGATTTTTGAAGCTGAATCATAAATTACACATTGTATCCTGACAAAATTACCATTTCCCAGTCTTTTGCATCCAGCCCATTATCACTGTGTTCTGTTGCTTAGCTACTGGAATCACAAAGTTTAATACATTTTAGGTGGATATTTAAATTTCAAACAGAATTTCAACTCTGAAGTCTACAGAAAAACTTATCAACACATTTGCTTACTTAAATTTTCAAAAGAAACTTCTTTGTTTACAAGGATTCAGACTTGCTTAATTTTGGAGAAGTGTGTAGTATTATCAGTGGAGGACATTTAACCCCATGTGTCAAGTTATACCAAATTCATGCTAGTTTCTTTGTAGTGTTTATTTCTGTTTTTGCTATGACTTCATTAAATATTTAAAATCCTAAGTCTATGATTTAGGTCAGGCTTCTTTAGTACAAATCTGCATGTAACACACACGCATGCAGCTTTATAATACTTCACTTACCTGTTCCCATGCGAACACATGCTGATTGAAATAATACTGAATTTGTTCATTTGCAATGTTAATGCACAGCTGCTCAAAGGAATTTTTCTTGAAATTTTCAAAGCCAAATATATCGAGAATGCCAATGCTCAGTTCATCTCCATTCCCACTGAAAGAATTAAAGAGCAACTATTTGAGTTCTTAATTTGTTTCCTTAAGAGGTAAACAGATGAATAAAAAATGTAAAGAGGATATTTCAGAGTACCCTTTTGTGATGTGGCAAAGAAACTTCTATTAGGACGTACACCTAACGTGAGCACTTTCTTAATTAAAAAGGTTTCCTTTCATAGAACATAAAAATGATGGAGGTAGCATAGATTTTAATATATAAATTGCACAATATTTTCCTCATACTACAAAAACCACTCCTATATACCATCTTATGTATTTAAATAAAAAAAGAGAGAGAAAGTTTTCTTCCTATGGATTTGTAAGCACAAAGTCACAGCCTTGAGTGAGTCAGGAGTCATAGGAGAAAACAGGCTAGCACTCAGAACACAGCAAAAATATACCCTCAGTAAAATCCATACTCCAAAACCCAAGACCACTGCTGTTGAGTCAATTCCAACTCATAATGACCCCATAGGACAGAGTAGAACTGCTCCATAGGGTTTCCAAGGCTGTAAATCTTTATGGAAGCAGACTGCCACATCTTTCTCCAATGGAGCAGCTGGTGGGTTCGAACAGCTGATCTTTCCCACCAGGGCTCCTAAAATCCATGCTTACCCGTTACCTGTTGCTGTCAAGTCAATTCTGACTCACAGCGACCCTGCAGGACCGAGTAGAACAGCTCCATAGGGTTTCCAAGGAGTGGCTGGTGGATTCAAACTCCACCTTTTTGGTTAGCAGCCCTCTCTCTTAACCTCTACGCCAGAGAATCAAAATTTCTCTCAAAGAGTATACGTAGTTCTTCATTTTAGTACAACAATTAAAATATCTTGCTAAAAATATTTTGATTAAAGAATTGTTCTGTCCTGTTTGATTAATTGCTTTCATATATTTAAATATAGAACAAATGGTATCATGTGAGAAGGACATAAATCTATGTGGATTAATTTATAACTATTTAAAAAATACAATATTCTTTCGAGTTGCTGTTGTCAGTTTGATCCCATATAAATAGTTCTTAAAAGAGCACAGTGGTCAAGGTGGACATTCCTTATTAAGCTAAATTATTGTTTTGTTTCAAGAAGACTTCAGGGGATATTTTTGGTTTAAGGTTTTAAGATTATCTCAGGGCAATAGTTTTGGGATTCATCCTGCCTCAATGGCTCCCGAAAGTCTGGATTCCATGAGAATTTGAAATTCTGTTCTGCATCTCCCTTTTGATCAGGGGAGGAAAAATTTGGAAAAGGAGAGTAAGAATGGTTGCACAACTTAAAGAATGCAATCGTTGTTACTGAATTGTACATGTAGAAATTGTTGCAGTGATGTATGTTCTGCTGCGTATATTCTTAGCAACAATAAAAAATAAAATAAATTATAAAAAACAAAAACCAAAGAATACAATTAGAGACTATATTTAAAATGCAATTTTTCTCTGTAATGGTTTACCTCTGTTCACTAAAGTTTTGATAGTTGGTCAAAAAGTTTGCACACCCCTCCAATAAATTTATACATTACAAAGTTATTTTTGTGTGAATTTAAAAAGGAAAACACAAACACTTTTTTTTAGTTCACAATGCTAGTAGTCTAGGGTACTCTGATTTGGAAATGATGGTCAGCAACTGTGCGCTGTAAGATGAAGCATGCTCCCTACATCTGGAGGAAGTAACTGAATTCAGAACGAAAAGTTACAGAACACTTTAAATATGGGATGGGTTCCACAAAAGGAAAGATAGCTGAATATTTCTGAAAGTTCCTATTTTAAATAGTAACTGTAATTCTATGTAGTTACATAAGGCAAGATGTCAACTTAAAATTTACGCTGGTAGTCGGAATTATTGTACTTTTACAATTACTTTGCCCCACAGGATCCCACTGAAATAAGTATTCACTCGTTGTATAATAATGTGTTAGAGCCAGGAGGGACCAAAAGATGATCTGGTTTAGGGATTCTTATACTGGGATCTGTTAATGAGTTTGAGGGGTCTGGAATCATAACTGTGTATAATATTTTGGTGGGTATGTATAGATATGTCTTTTTTTTTTTTGAGTGAAGAATGTGGACAATTTTCAAGAGATTCTTAAAGGCTCCAAGAGACGTACTGATAAAATACTTAAAAAATATAATTTTAAATTGAATCATCATTCAATGCCCTCATTTAACAGCTGAGGTAGAAGAGACCCAGAGAAGTCAATGACCTGCCTAATGTCACACAGGGTCTGCCAAATCTCAGGGTAAATCTAGACTAAATTGAACTAAAACTATTCCAACGGCCTTGTTTCAATTTTTTTTTTAAACCTTCTGGAAAAAACACCCAAGATTTGAATATTTTTCATTAGTGTATGTAAAGAAAAGTTACCATTTAGCAGATAGGAAGTAGCAGATTTTTTTCAGCAGATCAGCTGGAAAAAAACCCTGTTTTGAAGTCATATCCTTCTGGGAAGCCATTTAGTGCCAAACATGCATATGATAACTAACAAAATGAGGCCCAATTTCTGAATATCTTGCTTTCGTTATATGGAACATACAGATGCTGCAAAATTCCATAGCTGAATTTTCCCATTTTCATTGGAAAGTTTGGCATCATGTAGATGGCCACATATGAAGACACAAACTATTTTGACCACATTTAATCATAACATGCAAGTTAGATTATGATTTGTAGACCCACCCATGATAGAGTACAATTCAGCAGGGAGGTACAGAAGCAATTTATAGAGACAGAGAGTTAAGAACACTGAGGAATAATGGGTGTTCTCTCAGACAGTTTGACTGGATAATATTGTGGGTGTGCATTTTAGCAGAAAAGTAACAATGAATTGCATGCCCAAAATGGCCTTTATACTTAATAAGCAGGTGTAAAAGATGTGATCTTAAGGTAGGTATCTAGTGTTTCCATATACAAAGTTTCTAAAGATTGTATAATTTCTGGCAGAACAAAGCTTTCAATGTAAATGTAACGACTTCTATCTATGCACAGTTCCTGGGGTATAGATAACCCTCAGTCAATGGTTGTTGCCATTATCCGTATTTCTAAGATGAAGTACTAAAAAAGCTGTAGGTTTCATGGTCAGGTAACATTAGAGGTCAAATCCTGTCTTTACCATTCACTAGTTATCTGCTGCACTTCTGAGCCAACTTCCATTGAAAAATGGAGGTCATAACACCTACCTTACAGGTTTATAGTGAGAGTTAAAATATGAAAAAAAAGTTGCCTTCTACCCTTCAAGAATTAATCCAAACCCTCGAAACAAAAAAGAAGAACTACTGAACCGACATTTTTTGCAAGTATAAAATGGTATATACTTCATGATACATCTTCCATTTGAAAGAACATAAAAATTGATAGTGAGAGATCATATTTTAAAAAAAAATTGCTTTCTATTGTGTTTATTCATGTTTCTGCTGTCTTTATGTTGTGGCAATTTTTAAAATTTTATAGTTTTGTGGCATAGTGGTACTATTAGGAAATAAAGCAGATGTATTGAAACATAACCTTGATAATTAAATCATAGCAATTAGAAACATCTTCAAAGAGATTAATATACAAATCAACAAATTAGAAAACAGATTTCTTGGGGAAAAAGTTTCTGTAAAAAATTTTACCTTGGTGACGCATCATGCTTCAACAAGCTATTAATGCGATTGACTATCCAACTAAAGAGATGCCCATATAAAGTTTTAGCCATCGCATCTCTGACATCAGTGGCTTTTTCTACGGTATTGGGACGTATAATTGTTTCTCCTCTAGCCACCACACAGTGGGAGGTGAGAGCTTCTTGTAGCTCATCTGCCTGAATGCAAAGCAAAGAAGCAGCTGAAAAATAAACAGATGTATCATTAGAAGACATTATGGCGATGAAGTCACTTCCTAAGGGATAAAAATGTCTTAATTCACCTGGAAAAGATCAAGAATGGATCTTAGAGGGCAGTGAGTATATGTTAATGAGGGAGGAACAACTCGGAAAAGGAGGGTGAGAATGGTTGCACAACTCGAAGAATGTAAACAATGTCACTGAATTGTATATGTAGAAATTGTTGAATTGGTGTACGTTCTGCTGTGTATATTCTCAACAACAACACAAAATAAAATAAATTATTAAAAATAATGGATGTGGAATGAACAATTGGAAGGTCACTGTCTTAGTTAGGTGAGAGGGGATAGCTTGCACGAGAATGGTGGTTATGAAGATAAAGGCAAGTGATCAGATTTGAGAAATATTGACGGAATAGAATTGGCAAAACTGGCGCCTGACTGAAACAATGCACCTGTAAAACCAGTTGCCAAGCAGCCTGGTTTGTTTGTTTTTTTTTTTTTTGAAGTAACAGACACATTTTATTTGAGAAAACGTCTGCCGAATGCTTATGTTTGAATAGCCAGTTTTTCTGTCAGTCATTCTTTCAAACAAAAATGGCCTGTGACTGTGGGGACCATGGTCTCGGGGAACATCTAGCTCAATTGGCATAACACAGTTTATAAAGACTATGTTCTACATTCTACCTTGGTGAGTAGCGTCTGGGGTCTTAAAAGCTGTGAGCAGCCATCTAAGATACTCCACTCGTCTCACCCTTTCGGGAGTAAGGGAAAATTAAGAGAACAGGATACAAGGAAAAGATTAGTCCAAAGGACTAATGGACCACAGCTACCAAGGCCTCCAATGGACTGAGTCTAGTACAGCTAGATGGTGCCTGGCTACCATCACTGACTGCTTTGACTGGGATCATAACAGAGGGTCCTGGACAGAGCTGGAGAAGGATGTAGAACAAAATTTTAACACACACAAAAAAGACCAGATTTACGGGCCTGACAGAGACTGGAGAAACCCCTAGAGTATGGCCCCCAGAAACCCTTTTAGCTCAGTGGTGAAGTCACTCCCAAGGGTCACCGTTCAGCCGGGGAGTGGACAGCCCCATAAAACAAAACTGGACTAATGAGGCACAGCAGTCCAGGGACAAGGTCTAGAAGGCAGAAGGGGACGGGAAAGGTGGTGATATGGAACCCAAGGTTGAGTAAGGACAGTGTTCACATGTAGTGGGGTTGTTAACCATTGTCATAGGGCAACACGTGTACTGTTCATTGAGAAAGGATTTTATTCTGTAAACCTTCATCTAAAGTGAGAATAGCAGCACAACTGGAAGAGCGTAGTCAATGTCACTGAACTGAGCATGTAGAAATTTCTGAAATGGTGTATCTTTGGCTATGTATATTTTCACCCCCCACCCAAAAAAAAGGCTGAGAAGGGAGAGGGTTAACATGTCATGGGGTTGTTAACCAATGTCATAAAACAATATGTGTACTACTCTTTAATGAGAACTATTTGTTCTGTAAACCTTCACCTGAAGTACAATAAAAAAAAAAAGTGGCCTGTGAAAAAAGTAGCTAGGTCAGCTCACAACTCAATCACACAAGTGCTTGTCTGCAATTAAACTATCATACGTGGGTATGCAGCACAGCACGTTAAGTGTACCTCCCATTTTTCATCCAGGATACCAAAAAGGTGCGTACTCCAGGGTCAAGATTTAATAATAATTTTTACCTCCTCGTCAACTACATTTTTGAGTGAAATTGGCATTAAAAATTTCTTTTTTTTTTTTTGAATTGTGACTAGTAGTAGAGTTTGGTGCCTCTGCCTTGATTTGGGCTAAGATTCAAGTTTTATTCATCAATACTCTTGGCACCATCAGTGCAAATGTCGACACAGTAAAAACAGCAATTAATGTCTCAGTATTATTATAAAAATATCTTTGAATTTCACTCTGGGCACTGCTTTCATTGCATTCCAAAGGTTTTGCTGTGTTTCCATTTTCGTTTAATTCTAAGTATTTTTTAAATTTCACATTTGATTTCTTCTATGACCCATTTGGTCTTTTAGTAGTGTGTTATTTCCATGGATTCATTTATTTTTCCTTATTCTTCTTGTTATTGATTCCCAGCTTCATTCCATTATCGTCAGAGAAGATGCTTTGTATGATTTCAATCTTTTTAGATTTATTTTAAATCTGCTTTGTGTCCTAAAATACGGTCTGTTCTAGAGAATGATCCATGTGCATTGAAGAATGTGCATTGAGCTACTGCTGGTTGGTGTGTTCTATATGTCTGTTAGGTCCAATTGGTTAATGATGTTATTCAGGTCTTCTGTTTCTTTATTCATTTTCTTTCTAGTTGTTCCGTCATCAAAAGTGGTGTATTAAAGTTTTCTACCATTATTGTAGATCTATTTCTCTCTTTAATTCTGTTAGAGTTTGCTGTGTAAATTTTGGGGCTCTGACATCAGGTGCATAGATATTTATAATTGTTATGTCTTGGTGAACTGAGCCTTTTCTTGTTACATAACGTCCTTGTCTCTCATAATGAATTTTGATTTAAAATCTGTTTTGTCAGTTATTAATACTGCTATTCCTGTTCTCTTTTGGGTACTGTTTGCCTGGTATGTTTTTTCCCCCCATCCTTTGACTTTTAACCTATTCATGTCTTTGTGTCTAAGGTGTGTCTCTTGTAGACAACATGTGGATAGGTCATTTTAATCCTTTCTGCCACTCTGTCTCTTGACCGGAGCATTTAATCCATTTGCATGCACTGTAATTACTGATAAAGGATTTATTTCAGCCATTTTGTTATACTTTTCTTTTTGTGAGGTTGATGGTTTCTTGGTTCCTCTTTACCTTCAGTGCTGAGTTATGTTTAAATATAAAATTTTTTCCCTTTTATTTATTATCGTTGTTTTTGTGATTACTGAGTCTTATTGTTTCCCTTCTTTATTTTGGTGAATAGATTACTTTGTGGTTACCATGAAGTTTAAATTTAACATAGTACATTTGAAATGATTTGTTGTATCTTGAAATTGCCTTAACTTCCACAACATGAAAATTTTATATCTATACCAATAACCCTCCCTTTTATTTTGATGTTGTCATCAGTTATAACTTTGAGAGTCTCTATAATCTCACTTTAAATTTATTTTGTTGTTATACGTATTCAGGCAACTGTTAAGTGTGGTTACTTTGGGTTGCTGGCTGGCATCACTGGTTTTCTTTCTGGAGGACTCCCTTTAATAGTTCTTGTAGGGCTGGACTGGTTGTTACGAATTCCCTTAATTTCTGTTTTCTGGGAATATCTTAATTTCACCCTTGTTTTTGAACAACTATTTTGCTGGGTATATTACTCTTGGTTGACAGTTCTCTTCTTTCAAGACTTTGTATATATCATCTGATTGCCTTCTTGTCTGCATAGTTTCTGATGAGAAATCAGCAGTTAATCTTATTGGGACCCCTTTGTAAGTGATATTTCGCTTTTCTCGTGCTGCTCTCAAAATTCTTTCTTTATCTTTGGTTCCGGAAAGTTTGATTATGATATGTCTTGGTGTATTTCTGTTAGGGTTTAGCCTATATGGAGTTCGCTCAGCTTCTTCAATGAAAATCTTGTCTTCCATGATATTTGGGAAATTTTAGCAGCCTGGTTTTGAAGGCAATTCCTTGTAACTTCAATTACAAATAATTTTAATAAAATTTCTATTTTCCACCAGTGGCTATTCCAGAAAGTGTTATAATTAATTTTACCTATATTCCTATTGGAGCCCCGGTGGCACAATGGTTAAGTGTTTGGCTGCTAACCAAAAGGTTAGCAGTTCGAATCCACCAGCCACTCCTTAGAAATCCTAAGGGTCAGTTCTACTCTGTCCTACAGGGTAGCTATGAGTTGGAATCAGCTCGACAGCAATGAGTTTGGTGTATCCCTATTAATATTAACCTTTTGTGACTTATATGACTGTCTCCTGCTGTACAGAAGCAGACTCTTAATCATCACAATCATTTTTTAGTTAGTTTGCTTGTTTCTAAGTATGTTCTTACCTACAGCATATCGATATTGCAACTCATTCTGTTGGTTGCCGCTAACTCTTCTAATTATGATCAGATGGTGAAATTTGAATTTTATCATTGGTGTCTCCTGGTTATTCCCTCCACTTCTGATAACCTAATATTTTGTGTGTCGATTAAGTTTTTGTTTTTTTAAAATAAAAAACCAGACAGGTTACCTTGAAGTTTCCAGGTACATGCCAATCACTAGATGCCAACTTCAGACACTTGTTCTGCTGTATTACTGAGCTAGTTCTAGAGATATGATGAGGATGGAGATGACAGTGATCTTTGGAACAGGTCTGAACCATGCTGGTTTGACATTTGGTCCTCTGAAATTTCCCTAAAACATCTTATTTTATTCCTGAGTAAGTATAAGTCAGAAAAACAATGTATGAATAAAAACTTACACTATGATTACCTAGGTTTATGAATGAAACTTGGAACAAGTCTGGAATTATGGGGGCATATGCTAATGCCAAAAAATAAAAGTCAGTGGGAAATCTTAAATTACTGGAATAATTAATCAAATGTTGCTATGAAGAGAAAACTTGATTTGGGGCAAAATATCATGATGTACATGGAAGAAAAGGCCTAGTGATCTGCTTCTATTAAGATTATAACCAAGAAAACCCCATAGAGTAGTACTACTCTGTAACACCTGAGGTCGCCATGAGCTGGAATCAACTTGATGACAAATAACAATAACAATAACAACACCACCATGATGTACTTCTCTTACATAAAAAATGGCTGCAAAATTAATCAACCCAGGACAAATGTATGTAAAAAATCCATCCAGTATGAAAATAAGTATACAGGTCTTTATTACTTATAAAATATTATAGATGCTAAATCTATAAGATAGTAACTTTAACTCAGATCAACTTACTAAATTTTATTTATATTTTCTATGTTTTTACATTGAATGTAAATAGCTCCTAAAATAGTCATAAAAGTCTAGTCTTTATAAACATTTTCTAGAGTAATCAGTTAATTTGTAGGCATGAAGATCTGTTTTAAACAGTGGACTTTTAAAACTTGATTTTACACAAATTGAATCTGAGTTTTTTTTTTTAGGATTCCACATGAGTACAATTGCTTGAAATTATCCATATGTGACACTTATGGTTTGTGAAGACTTTGAAAGAGTTCAGTTTTGAATGGAAGGCAATAAAACTCACAGTTCTCCAGGGCGGCATGATGGGAAATGTGGCTCTTGTCAATCTGGTGTTCAGTTGCCACAGAAGAAAATTCAACATTTCCAACATTTAAGATTGCAGCGAGTACACTGTACACACTTCCTAGTTCCTGAAACACACCATACAAACATTAGCATCATTCTCCCCTTATCTTGAGAATAGCAAGGCAGTCACTATGGCTAGGGACAGACTAAGGAAGAATCTTTAGGTTCCAGCATAAGGACATCCCCCAGCCTATGATGTCAGACTAGGAGATCCATGCAGGCCAGGGCTTGGCCTCAGTAGTTATATTAATCTTAGAGGTGAGCACAGTGCCTTTTATCTAGTGAGTGCTTAAAAATGACTTATGGACGCAAATATGAACAGAAAATAGAAATGTGGAGCTTCCCTCAGGGAATTAGAAATATTTCATCCATTAAGTCATGGGTAAATCTATCCTTGTTAAACTTAACATCAAAACTTAGTGTGGTCATATCTATATATACATATTCCTTGCGGCCTTAAAAGTGAGGTTATATGCATGGATAAAGGAGAGTTAAGAAAGAAAAATCAAAAGATCCCATCACCAAACTCAAAGGATATTTGTGACTTAAGTACAGGTGATAAGTACAGGCATGAGAATGTTGGATTATGGCTTAGAGTTTGTATTAGTTATTACTTTTTAAATATAACTTCCTAAATAAAGCACATCAAAAATATATTCAGAAACATATATTCACATATGTGTGAATCTTCTTGGAGGAAACGGAGGGATTTTGTCAAGGAGTCTACGGTAATTCTAGGTGTTATTCCAACTATGTTCATGGTGCAGTGATGTATAGGAAAGGAGGTACAACAAAATCCTTTATTGTTTTCTTGTGTTGCTGCATTTATTCTAGCCCAGATCCTACAGTGAACACAGATTATTCCATCCCTTCCAACATTCCAAGTCAAGATAAAAGCTGGATATGAAAATTAATCTTCAGAAACATTCATTCACTCATTCATATATAATAAATACATAAAAAGATATATTAAATGAACTTATAATGTGGACACAAATTTGTTGAATGAATATGTGTATCTATATCATCTATATATGTGTCTATGTCTATATCTCTATCTATGTCTATATATTAATTCATTCAGTAAACATATACTTATGTCAGGTTGTTCTAGCCATGGGGGACTCAGTAGCAGGCAGGACTTAAGATCCTTTTTTCCTTGAGGTGTTCAGGGAGTAAGGAGGCAAACAATAAGCAAATAAGCAAATAGATAAACATGACACATTCAGAAAACAATAAGGACTATGAAGAAAATAAAACAGAAAGGTACAATCAAGAGTGACTCTGGAAAGGAAAGAAGGCTGCCCTCTGAGAAGGTGACATTGAAGCTGAGGCCTGGATAATGAGAAGGTGCCAGCCATGAAGAGAACTGGAGTCGTTCTTTTAGGCACATCAAGGGCAAAGGCTCTGCTTGAGGAGAAAAGGAGGATTAGTGTGGGGCTGGGGGACAGGAGAAAAGTGGAGTAATGAGAGGTAGACACAGGCAAGACCACCTCAGGCCCTCCAGGCCACTATAAAGAGAGTGGATTTTATTCTAACTGCAATGGGAATCCACTAGAAATTTTAAAGCAGAAAGTGACATCACCTGTTGTATTTTAAACTGATGAGTCTGGTAACTGTGTGGAAGAGAATGGATTAGAGGCAAGATGGAAAAGTGCAATAGTTAGGAGCTACTGCAGTAGTTCAGGTGAGAGATGACGGTGGCTTGGACTAAAGTAGTAAATGGCAGAGACAGAAAGAAGTAGATGGATTGGTGGTGTATTTAGGAGGTAGATCAATAAATTTGCTCATGGATTGGATATGAATTTCTTTTCTAAGAAAATTCTCCAGGTAAGAAATTGTCATTTGTAATATTCATAACTTGCAAAAGAAGGAACCGGCATGAGCTTTCATGGCAGGTGGAGAAATAAAGACAGCATCTGACGTTCTGGTGTGTTTGTGTTTGTGTGTGTGTGTGTGTGTGTGTGTGTGTGTGTTTGTGAAGAAACTACGTGTTATTGATAGTCTACACCAGAAATATTCCTTTAAATTGGTTGTCACAAACTGTGCCTCTTCAAAACTCTTGTATGCCTGTCAATTAGAGACAAGAAAGTTCAGGTTTATAAGCTTCCAAAGTTGCAGATTTTTTTCTTTTTATTGTAAATAAATATATATAACACATTTGCCAATTCAATGTTTTTCATGTGTACAATTTAGTGACTTCACCAATATCTGTTGCCAAAATTACATTTCTATTTCTACAGCATTTAGAGATTCATTATAGAAAATCATGTTGAACTAATGGACATTTAACTCCTATTACCACTCCTGTTGTAGGTTTGTCTGTACTCGAGGAACCTGAACTGCTGCTGCTTTAGCACCATCTTCAAGGACAAACACAATTCTGGTTTGCTGCAGAGTCAGATTTTCATTGTTATGATGGAGAAGGCTCAAATCTACCCTCCCTGCTGCCCTAGACATTGCTGCCCTGATCTGTGCTTGCACACATTGCTGATGTGGTGTGCTGACAGCAATCCATTACTCCACGAACAGAGTATTCTGAGTTAATCTGCCCAAGGCAAAATGACTCTGTTAGAAAGATTTCTTCTCCTTCAAAATTCCACTGCACTCTACCACCTATTTAACCATCCACCCATTCATTCCTCCATCATCTGTCGGCTATTTATTTATTATTATGTGAGGTATTGAGCATATATCAGTAAATAAGAATAATTTCTGCTCTCAAGGACCTTACAGGCTCATGGAACCAAATGTATAAATCAGTCTCTATATTGGATTTCTATATGGATCATTTCTATGTATTTACTTTTTATGTTTTATTATAGTTTTTTATGAAAAAAAATAACATCTCTGCTCTAGGACAAGGCTATGTGGTTGGTTCATTTGGTATCTAGCCCACTGCTTTATCCACATAGTAGGCGATGACTTTGCATTTTATGGTACACTATGCTGCTAACCAAAAGATTGATGGTTTGAGTCCACCCAAAGGCACCTTGGAAGAAAGGCCTTACTTCAGAAAAATAAGCCATTGAAAACCCTATGGAGCACAATTCTACTCTGACACACAAGGGATCACCGTGATCACAGTCAGTGTAACAGCAACTGGTTTTTATGGATACCATCCTGGTGAGAAGGCCAAGGAAAGCAGGATTAATACATAATATAGGCTGTATCTGATTTATGAAACACAGTATTTCAAAAGTTTCTTCATAAGGGATTTTGTGTAGAACTTGGAACATAATGCTATAGTATCTTACTGCTGGATGGATTTGTCAGCACTCAGTGTATAACTCATTCAGGAAGTAAAAATGGAACACTTCCCTAAGTGACTCACCAAAGCTCACCATCCAACTGCACCTTTGCAATTAAAAAGAGAGAAAGTAACACTATCAAACTACATTTTTAAAAAATGGTAAACTACGTAGAATGTATCTTCCAACAAATAAAAATATATACAACCCAAGACTCGTAATTAATACCCAATATGTTACAATATCAGCCTGCAAACAATAGTGAAAATGATGATACATTTCATTGGTCTTGAATTTTGGCACTTGAAGAAAAGCAGTTTTGTTTGTTTTTTGAGAAGAAAATGAAATAGATGGAGACTTGTATAGATTCTGAAGGGGACTTCTGTGAACTTTGAAGTGCAATAGTTGTTGATGGCTCTGGTTCAACTTCATGTCTAATTTGATTTCAGAACATATGTTTGGTTTTTTTTTTTGATATGGGTATTACTATAAAACTAAGGCCTGTGAGCCTAGAGATATAAAAATAATGCAAAATTCAATCATAAATTATAGGGATTGGTTGAATCCAATCAAATAGTGATGAGCTTTGGCTGTGTCCCAGGTTGTGATGCCAAATCCCCCCTACTCAAATCTGCAGAAAAAAAGTTCAAAGGGGTTATGATAAAAATTGGGTAAGAGTAATGCCTGAAAGATGTCCAGAAGAAGGGGTGATGCACTGGGTTACACAACTAAATACCAGCTGAAAGGTAATGTTTGCAGCTCCCCACCTTGGCCTCTGGTATTATGTTCCTAATTTGTCTCCTTGCCTCTGGTCTTGCCTCTCTCCAATCCATCTTCCATGTGGCTGTCATAGTGATCTTTCTAAAAGCCGCATGAGATCATTCTGTTTCTCCAATTAAAATCCTTCAATGGCTTCCTATACCTTTAAGGATAAAGGTCCAGGTCGTTTCCAAGGCATGCCCAGAAAGGTTCTGCATCTTTTGGTGCCTGCCTGCCTTTCACCCTCATTTCCAGCTTTTTTCTCAATTTTTTTTCACTCATCCAAACTCCTTGTAGGTTCCCAAGAATTCCACATTATTTTCATACTTCAGTTCCAGTGCATGCTGTTGTTTTCACCATTCTTTACACATGATCGCTTCTTTGAAGGTTTCTCTGACAAATACCCAGACTTCATGTTTCTGTAACATTCTCTGTCTGCTTGTTGACTATGCTTAATTGAAATTATGCTTAGTGTATGTCTCCTCTATGAGACTACAGACTCATTGAAGATGAAGATAGTGCCCAATTCACACCTCCAATTCCTAGCTCAGGGCCTGGTTGATACATAGCTTGTACTCTATAAAGGCTTGTCAAACTGTTTTCTTTTGCATCAATCAAGTGGCAGTAAAATTTCCTTCATTTCTAAAACAGAATCCTTCTCTTATTTCTTGAAATCTTTAAATCTGTATTTCACAGCTTTTACTGATATTTCTCAGAATTTCTTCTTCTTTTTTAAATTCTAAATGTCTCCATTAGGTTTTAGGCTTTATGCATTTTGAGTTAGCACCTGGATTTTATGAGAACAACAGGACTTTAATAAACCCAGAACGGTTTTCTTCCAAAAGTCAAGCAATTCCTCTAAGTAGCAGGAATTGTGGTTGCTTTCTAAGTGGTTGCTTTCCCTGCTTTTGTCCTGGAAATGGAAGCTACAGCCCAAGCTGGGTGGACTGTGTTTGGCACAGAGTCCTTCTGTGGACACACATTAAGTCTTTTCTTAGAGTCTCAACCCATACTTGCTGCTTAATGGAAACTCATATGAGGGAGGAGTAAGAGAG